TTTACTGAAGTGTCACGCTTCAAAAGAGATCCTCTCAAATAATACAATGCGTAACACTCAGCTGGGTTGCCTGTTAAAATGTAGGACTACACCTTGAAAAACACTCCTTCTAGAGTTCATTTTGGTGGATAAATCTCCCTCCAAGTAAAGCAATCCTATATTATAAAAGTGTAATATGCAAACTGACCAAACGCCGGAACAATGGGTCAATGAGGGGCAGAGCCGGCGAGCAGGTATCGCTAGGCCAGCCAAGGCACATATCAGTGGGCAGAGGGAGGGGATGGCAATGGGGTTGGGGGATGGCAGCAACCAGCGGAGGCAGGGCAATGGGGGCTGGCACCATCCCCTGATCATCCAGCCACTGGAGGATTCGGGGCAGGGCCACCCAGCACCATCCCCAGATAGGTCTGCTGGGATTGCCTCCCGCAGAGGGAGGCCACCAGTGGCTGTGGTACAACTGGGGGTGGGGCTGGTCGCTCGCTGCCTACACCATCCTGATCGGCGTGCCAGTCACCTCCTGCCGAGGGAGGCCAGACTGTGGCTTAGGCCCACTCCCTGCTTCCCTAAGCTGTCAGTAGGACATCCCCCAAGGGGTCCCCGATTGGAGAGGGTGCAGTCTGGGCTGAAGGAACCCCTCCCCCATGCACAAATTCCTTGCACTGGACCACTAGTATATAATATATGCCATTCAGTTTGATACAGAATGTCTGGCCCAAGAACAAAAGTTGGGAATGCCTGGCCCAGTAAATAACAATGTAGAAATATATATACTATACTAGTATGTCATTCAGAGGAAAAACTGAAACATTTTGCATTTTTTCTTAGTCTGTGACTGCATTCATAGCAAGAGCATTGAAGTGAAAAGACAGCAGCTTCATGCTAGCTGTGAGATGATCATTCTGTGTGCTCCTGTAAGTCTTCACTTTTCATGGACTTCCTTTATTCCTCTCTTGACCAAATGCTTCTGGGGTCTCTTACAGTTCTAAAAGCCAGTGAGCTGAGACTTCCAATCACTTATTCTGTCTCCTGTGGTTTTGAACTTGTTAGTGTTATTAAATATTTCACCTCACTTTCTACAGAGAACTAAGCATCCTTTTGAAAAGGAGTTATGTTAATTTTGTAGTACTCCTTTAACGAGGTAAAGAACAGCTAAGTCAAGTCCAAAGTTTATTATAACTCAATATTCAGTAGAGTTTCCAACGTTACAATTAGGCTACCATTTCAGCACATTTTTTACATAGCCCAAGCTTGGTCAGGATGAGATAGTTATCTGTCCGGTACCCATGATCATCCATGCCAGAGGTTGTAGTCCAAGGTGGAACCTGGAAGCCCTTTTATGATAGGTCACACTGCCTGAACTTGAACTTGGCTGTGCCACTTACTTACTTGTAACCTGGGGTTATAAGTAAACTATTTGAGCTTCAGTTATCTCCGGGGTGAAACGGGTATAGTAACAGCACTCGCATAAAACCACTGTGAGGTTAAATGGGATGCCTTATGGAAGACATGGAGGTGGGTTTAGCATATGTTAGTATCAACAACACTTTGCCATTTTTTTCCTTTCAGAATAATCATCCCTCCGCTCTGAACTTCTATACCAAT